TTATTCTTTCTTTCTTTTCTCATTTCCTTGTTTTATGTTATAAAATCACAAGGAAGAATAAGAATACATAAAAAGATTATATAAAAATATAAGCATCAAACATTTTAAAATTAAAATAAATTATCAAAGCATTAACATATCAAGGCTGGCACGTTTAAATAAAAACATTATAAAGTCCTAATGTTTTTAACAATTAAAATCCAAATACACCAACTAAATAACAAAGTCAAACACATCAAACAAATATCAAAGTTGTAACACTTAATATCTTAAGAACAAAACATTAAATATTGTAAAGATTAAATACACCAAGAAAATATAATCAATTATCATTTGATTCCACTATTTGATATAGCATGATCATCCTTCTTCATCTTCATATTTTCATCTTCATTTCCTACAACTCATCACAACATCATAGATTTATAATACAACTAAAAAAATTAGTAAGATGGTTAGTATTTGTAATACTATTGGAACTTTTCTAGGGGGCTTTTCCTTTTTTATATATTGGCATTGCTTCAGCTTTCTTGGCAGAACTTGTGGCGATCATGCTTGCTATAGATCACACATATGCGAGGGGTTGACATAGTCTTTGGCTTGAATGTGATTCCAAATTGATTTTAGATGCTTTTTCTCTAATGTTAGCATAGTTCCTTGGTCAATTTGCAGTAGATGAAAGCATTACATGAAGCATAGTTCTTCAATGACCTTCTTGAGTTAGTATATTTTTCGTGAAGGTAATCAGTGTGCGGATGCATTAGTTAGGTATGGTTTGGTGAATAAAGGTGATTTTGTTTTTGGGATATTTTGCCTACTTTTATCAGGGATGAATTTTTCTAGAATCGTTTCTAGAATCGTTGTGAATTACCTTCCTTTAGGTTTTGCTAATTTTTCATGAGTTTTGGTCTAGTCCCTCCATGCTCTTATTTTGAATTTTCTTTTATGTTATTTTTTAGGCGTGGGTGATGGATTAGTAGGTCTTGAGGTGCTAACCTAGTTGGGATTTTTGTGGCCTATTATGATGTCATGATCACGTAAGCTTTTATTTTTTAAAAAATACAATATATATCTTGCACATTAAACATAAACATCCATTTTTTAGTACAAATCAAGGCTTGCACATGTTAAACAAGTAGTGAAGTTCGATACTTATTAATTACTCATGAACCAATACTAAATGTTGATTCAGAAGTTACAATATTAATTTGAATACTTACAATATCATAAACCACCAAAGCATGTTCTGAAAACCTAACTTTATTTTCCATCCAATATTGTAAAAGATCCAAATTTGGATGATATTGAGAAGAAAGTTTTTACTCTTCCAAATATGTGTCTAATTGAGATTTACCCACTTTTGAAAAATTTTCATTTTCATATTGCATACTCCTACATTATTTCCAAAAAAAAAAAATTAGTTAGTGAGCAAAAGTAAATATAAAAAAAAGAGTGAAAGTAAAAAAACAACATAAAGTTAGATTCACAATAAGCCATTGTGATGCTGTTGGGTTTCCTTGAGCAAAGCTACTAGATGAAGTCTCATGTGATGAACCTTGATATAAAGAAACATGTGAAGTTGTTTCTTTTGCATACAACTTCACATACTCATTATATAGAGTATACAACTTAATTTACTCTATAATTTTTTAGCTCTTTAATGGTAAAAATACAAGATTAGTAATAGAGTAGTATTTTTTTTAAAAGAAAAATAAAATAATATATATATATATAGACCTTTCAACTTTATTTGGCAAGCTATTGGATCAAGACCAAATTATTTATAACAACTTCAAAACTTCAAACTTAAACCAAAGATTTAGAATGCACCTAAAGGAAAGCATAATACTATAATCACTCTAATATTTATTGAATTTTCCCTTCATTTCAATTGCCATAGCTTTAATTGTCCCACCTTATTACTCAAATTTTTAATCCTTTCAACTTTATTTGGCAAGCTATTGGATCAAGACCAAATTATTTATAACAACTTCAAAACTTCAAACTTAAACCAAAGATTTAGAATGCACCTAAAGGAAAGCATAATACTATAATCACTCTAATATTTATTGAATTTTCCCTTCATTTCAATTGCCATAGCTTTAATTGTCCCACCTTATTACTCAAATTTTTAATCAACAAGAATTCAATTTTCCAAATTTGCTTGAAATACAAATTGGATGTGGGATAACAAGAACCATATATCAATTATGTGATTTGATAGAATGGACACAAAAATTCACACATTTTTTCTCCTTTATCCCATTCTTCATTAGTACATAGGACAATTTACATAGCACCTATCCTCAAATTCAAGATTACCAAAGTCACATTGATATAAAAGTGTACTCTCAAGCATCAGAAAAGTGGAATTCCACCTAGTAACAACATCTAATTGTAAACCCATCTTTGTACCAATACCACCAACTTTAGCAACGCAAGCTTTACATGCCCTCATTCTTCCTTCTAACCCTTAAAATACTTGATGCTTTATCTGATTTTAGAAATGATAATTAGCAACTTTTAGACCCTTTTGAACTATAAGGTTTAAAATGTGAGAAACACATCAAATATGAAAAAACTCACCACCACATAATAAACCAACATTTTGCAAAATAAGTCTTTCCTTTGAATAGTCCTGCATTTTTTCATTAGAAGATGCATTGTAGCAACTCCTTAAACCTCTTATCTTCAACAAAAGAGTGAGGGGATCATGTTTTATTATCATAAGAGAAATCACATCGCATAACAAATCTTGATCAAATTTTCTACTTCTTAATTTCCCAACATGATAAAATACAAGTTTTCCTACTTTAGAATCTTCATACGCTTTGGGTCTTTTCTCACATCTTGACATGTGATGAATTTTAAAAAATTTGAAAATCATTTGATACTTTGTTTCATTAATTCAAATCAATGTATAAAAGGATTTAATGATTATCCGTCAATTTGAATTAATAAAATGAAGTATCAAATGGTTTTCAAATTTTTTAAAAATTTGCAGACTTGATCTATGTATTAACAACTTTAATTTAAACGGTTGGATTGTTAAATTTTAATTTAGAACATGAATTATTGAATGAATTAAGTTTAGGTAGACTCCTAAAGTAAATTAATAGATCTTTCCTCATTATTATTATTATTATTATTATTATTATTATTATTACTATTATTATATATATATATATATATACATATATATAACTTTTGGACACTTGCCAATAATTAAAAATAAATCAATATTTTTAACAATATATATATATATATATATATATACATATATATAATATTGTTAATCAAGTGAAAATAATATAAAGTGATTAGATTGATAATTTTATAAAAAAAGAAAAAAAGAAAAAAAAATTTCAATAGCTTTATCTATTATAATCACATTCACAAATATTGAAACTATACCAATGTAATTTTCGTAGAAAAATTCTTAAATACTTACTGATGGATTTTTCTGTCAGAAAATTCTTTACTACTTACTAAATGAATTATGCTTTGGAAATATAGTGCATTAATCAACGAAATATCTATGAGTAATAAATTCTCATTCCTTTTTAATAGAATTTTTGTCAATAATTTTTTATAAATATTTTTTTTCTGAAATTATGGAAAGATTACATTTTTTGACAAAATTTTCATTAGTAATAATTGAAGAATATTTTCCACAAAATCATCCGTCAGAAATTTTTTACGAATTAAAATATTTTTGACGAATATTTTTTTTGACGTTTTTTTTTTTCGATGGATTTGTGTTCGTAAAAAATTTGTCAAAAATTCTTTATTTTTGACGGATTATGTCTATAAAAAATTTACATTTTTCTTGTGGTGTGACTATCACATGCCAATTCTTTTTTACCACAACATCTAACCTTAGAAAAAAAAACATTGTTTGTCCCCCTTCCCACTTATTAATAAAGCAATCTTTGAAATACATTTATCTAAATGATGGTGCAATTACTTTGTTCCATTCTTTTCTTCTCCTCCAAACAATTTCTTGCAATAATTACATTTAACTTTATCTTTTTCATTAGTTTTAATCTTTTCAAAGTGTTGCCACACAACACTTTTTACCCTTTCTTTACCTAATTTTGTTTGTGTTGTTAATTCTATTTGATCAGATGCTTCTGAAAGTGGTTGCAATAATTCATTCATCGATGTACCTGTGCTAGTAAAACCTTAACATGGAATTGTTTGTTATGAAGATTGCAAGGTTGCTTCTTGTGATTGCTGATGTTTACTATTCATTTTCTCTACAAGAGTATAAGTTAATGCAAAAAAAGTGACAACCAATTAAAATAAATTCATAAATCTCAATTAATAAATCTATATAAAATACCAAAAGAAAACATAAAATACCAAAAGAAAACTTACATTCAATACCATACATTTAATACCATATAAGTTTACATAGAGAAAAACTAATAAGATGTAAGTCCCTGCAACCTTTACATAATAGAAAACTAGAAATGTATATAATGGATATAGTAGTTTCAACAAGGCCATGTATTAGTTCGCATTAGACACAAGAAACTAATAAATAAAAATGTTTTCTCATTAATGCATAAGTAACATTAAACACCACAGTTTCTAATAATTCTTTTACTTTTAATTTTTGAAATATTGTATAGGTTGAAATTTGATTGTCGATATTAATTATTTAATATCAGATAATTAATTAATGACAAAAGCATAGTTAAAAATATAGCATTGATTAACATTGTCTTAACCTTATAAATGTACAATTAATCGGAAGCAAAGTAGTACATTTTATCTATTTTTCTTTTCCAAAAAACTAAGAGAAACGAAATTTTTGAATGAATAAATATACTTGTATTTATTGATGGGGCCAATGAAGCATATCCAATTCCCTCTCAAGTCCCTTTAGCCACCACATGTTGTGTGTGAAATCTCTTTCAACTCAATTGGACAAATAGGGACCAAATGATTTTTTAAGGAATAAAATAGGGAAAATCCCAACTCAAGGCATTGTATTGTTCAATCTTCATTGCAATATTTACAAGTGATGAGTATGACTGTGTGAGAGAGAAAGAAAAGGAGGTGTCATCATGTGTAGTGTTAGTTTAATATGTGCCATAAGCATAAGTAATGCTTGAATCTGAAACAACAAAGACAAGAACAAGTCCAAGAGGCTAGGAAGAGAGAGAGACTTTGTTAATTTCTTGTCCCCATGTATGATTTCTTCTTTTGTTTCTTTGCCTTTTTTTCTTCATCTAGAGCACCCTTCAATTTTTTTTTCTTCTTTTGTTGGTTTCATCTCTATTATCATTTCAACAAAAGATTTATTTGTTGTTCCACAACAAGCAATCATGCATGAATCATTGAGAAATTGTAATTTCTGTCCCAAATGAGTTATTAGACGAGTTTTCAATTTTCTTGGGGGATACGTTGGTTTCTACATGTGTGTTGGCCTTGTTTTGCTATCTCCCCTTTGAAACAAAACGATTTCCTTTCCAATTATTAAGCTAAAGGAAGGAAATAAAGTTTAATGTAAACATCTCCTTTTGTTTATGTTCTTTTGGTTATATTAATTAATTAGCTTCAAAGAAGTTGTGTATTTAAACTTTGTATGAATTCCTTGATTCATTAATGCAGTAATCTCTTACTTATTTCCCTGATATGAATTCTATCTGTCACATAGGGGCCATTTCTGGTTTTATTCTGAGAAGCACCATATGATTTAGGCCATTTTTCTCTCTATATGAGCATATATCTATGGTTTATATAATATATATTCACTTTGTTCACTCCTCAAGTTATTCTTTTATAGGCAACAACTTATGTAAAGGAGAAAAGCTTAAGACATTCTCCAGCTCTTGATTCTTTGTCTCAAACACATGGTGGATGAAATCATTTTTTCATTTTTCCTTATATGTCACACACATAGTCTAATTTTTTTTTCTTCTTACCACACACAACTCGGTCAAAAACTAATTTTATTTGTAATACACCATGATTGTTGTTTGTTTGAGGAGCTTTTGTATACTGATAGAATTCAAACACAAAATTTTTCACTAATAAATCAACCTTATGACATATAGCATTTTTTTTACAATTATTTGTTTCATTAATTATACGACGTTGGTTGAGAAGAATTGATCACAATTTTTTCAAATATTAATTTTTCACTCTCTTTTTCTCTTTCATCATATCACTTATCATATTTATTATTACTATTATTATTCTCTTTTTCTCACTTGAATGGTCGTCATTTCAGATCCTAAATTCCTAATTAGAAAATGAATTGTATTTAGTTAGTGGCTGTATGGTATGTATGAGAAAAACAAAAAGCCGTATTGTCTTACCTTCTCTTTCTTTCTAATCATTTCATAAATGCCTACATATACAAGTTAGAATTTAATACGCAATTACACTATGTCTATGTACGAAGTGATGAAGCATTAATTAAAGCAACCGTACCAAGAACAGTAGCACTTCTAATTCCATTCACGTTGGAAGTTCAGGTCTAATTATGAGGAGGTTGCAGAGCTGATATGGGAAAATGGCCAGCTATCCATGCATGGGCTTGGTGGGCTTCAACCCGAAAAGCCCATAACAAGTAGGGCCCACGACACATTAGAGTCTATAGTTCAACAAGCCACGTTTAAATGTTGCCAACAACCATCGAAGTTCACTAGGCAAGGCCATGCCCCTACTAGTATAATAAACTCCTCCATTGGTGCACCATCATCATCCACCAGGAAGCCAACATGCTCCAACACTAACGTTAACGTGCTCCAACAATGTGACATCCTTGGTGGTCGTGGTCGTGGTTGTGGTTGTGCTAGTGCTGGTGCCACGTTTTGTAGGGACAACGATGCAACCATGATGACATGGGCTTCTCTTGAATCTGGTCCAACTTTGAAGACCATGGAGGAAGATTCAGCTTGTCATTGTGGATCGGTATCTTATTTGCTTGTTGGTTATACGCTCATATTTCTTTTTATGTTATTAATCATCAAAGCATATACTATACTCTTTTTCTTCTTTTTTCTGGATTCAGTTTGGATATAAATTAGAAGAGTTTTTGAGAGGTTCTTTACTGAAAAATAAAGAGTATTTTTGAGTAAAGAAACTTTCAAAAACACTTCTAAACATGTATTCAAACAAACTTTTAATATAATGAACAACTTGTTTTACGAGATAAAATTGAAGGAAGACATGGATCAAAATCAACCTAATAATCCAATTTGTTGGAAATCTTACATTCACTAGCAATAATGTTATAGTGTATGTTTTGAAATCCATTTAAAATCACTTGAACGGACTTTTTTTCACTTTTCAATATAAAAAAACTAAAATAAGTTATATATTGTTTTTGGATTATGTTCAACGTAATTGAAAAACAAACATATCCATATATAATGTTTATAATTAGGAATAATTTTCACCATATACATTAATTTTATAAAGTTAAATTAGGTTACAAACTATTTTTTTTAAGATAATTTCAAAATTTATCTTATTAGAATTGTATTAGTTATTAGCTGTTAGTTACTTGATATTCAACAACTCATTAGATCAATAGAATTGAAGTTCTAACTATAATCTAATCTGAAGTTCATGCCATAAATCAACAAAATATTCTTGTTACAACAATTAACAAATTGGAAGTTGATTAATATGCTATTTGCAGCTTCAGATAAAACAATGTAATATTCACATCATTCAAGAAGGAGCATGTAATTTATTTTATTACTATTTAAATATTCTAAAGTGTATGTGTATATTTTAATCATATATATATATATATATATAAAAGGTGGTATAATCCTTTATATAAACAAACTAACAAAAAAAATGCACTCAGTACTTTGTTAATGTTGTGAGATGTGAAAGTTACAAAATAAATATGATGCAATTTATTTTTAGAGAATAATATTTTTATTTAAATTAATAAAGTGAAATTACTGATTTATCCTCCTCTAAAAAAAAGAATTGTATATCTACCATAACAAATAAAGGGAAAAAATATCTTAAAATTTGTGTATGTGAAAATGATGAATTATCTTTATATACTATTATAGATTAAATTGATTATTTTGAAAAAAAATATTTTTAGAGAGTAATCCCTCAAGTCTTTATTAAAAGACACTTCTATTCAAATCACACAAATTAATACGAGTAGTTATGTTAGTTGATTTTACTAGATTTATAAAACAAAATCATGATATACTAATTTTACTCTTCTCATTTATTAATAATTTTTCATGAGAGGGGTGAAAATATTACTTTACATCAAAGCTTATGCACCAATGGCAATAAATTTCATAAATGACAATTACAAAGTTTAAAAGGTAGGAGAAATAACCTTTATTTCTCAAATTTTGTTCTCATTTATCCAATAACAAAAGTTATATATTTTCATAATCTTTAATAGGGACAAAAGATAAAAACCAAAATTAGGAGGATCGCTAATAATACACTCTCTTTACACTCCTTCTAATATATTCTCTCTTATTGATTAAAATTTATTGAAAATCATAAAATTAGGATAAAGATTCATTAAATAGGATGTAAGACACATCAACTTTTGTATTTTTTTTTTATAAATTTAAACTAATTAGAGAATATGTTCCTAACATCTCTATAAAATTAATGTTTTATAGAGGAATTGTAAAGTCTTCTATAAAAAAGATCACTAATTCTTTTTAAAATGTGTCTTACAATAAGATTAGAAAGAATATTATATATGAGAATTTTTAAGAATTTTTATTATAAAGAACCATTTGGTTCAAAGGAGTGGAATGGGGAGTTAAAAATTTTGTTTGACCAAGAGAAGAAGAGAAAAAATGAGATAACTTTTTTCTTGTTTAGTTCACAATAGGAGAAAAAAGATTTTAAAAAATAATTTTTTTTTATAACCTCATAATTTTAAATTTTATAACATAAGTAAAAATATTTTGAATATTATATTAAAGATATTTTAAAATTTCTCTTCTTCCATCCAAATTCTCCTAATATTGGATGAGAGTGAAAATTAGATGAGGAAGAATTTTGCTCCCCTACTCAAAATTAAACCAAACAAGATTTTTTTTAATAATCTCTCTCTCCTCTCCATTATCCCCTAACCAAACATTATGTAAGTTTCTTATTCCTTTCAATTTATCTTTTTCATTTCTACTTTTAAATTAAATTTTAGTTTTTTTAATAAATATTATTAATTAAAAATAATCTGTATTTTAATATAAATTTAAAATACAATTTATATGTTGAAAAATATTTATGAATTTTAATTATAGTATAATCTATATAATTCAAAAACTTAAACTTTAACTATATAAAATAAGATTTATCATGTGTGTTATAAATGTTCAAATATTAGCCTACATGTTATTTTTTTTGGCTTAAATATGTTTTTAGTTTCTCAAATTTAAGACAAATTTGTTTTTGGTCCCTCAAATTTAAAACTGTTGTTTTTAGTTCCTATAATTTTAAAAAATCTTGTTTTAGTTGCTTAGGTTATCAATAACATATTTAAAAGTGACTAATTAAGACAATTTTGCAATATCAACCAGATTTAATATGATATTTTTACTAATAAGGACACTAATAGGTAGATTTTATACAATAATATTTGATAAAATTCTTAACAAAATTTGAATATAAGGACTAAAATAAGATTTTTTTTTTGAAATTATAGGAATTAAAAACAACAATTTTAAATTTGAGGGATCAAAAATAAACTTATTATAAATTTGAGGGACAAAAATATATTTAAGCCTGTTTTTTTTAATAAATATGAATTATAACGAAGACTATAAGATTCTAATCAAAGCAAAGAACGATCCCAGTATTTTTTACATCTTTGAGAAAGAAAAGTATAATTTACTTATAATTTAATTACTTTTTATTTTACTAAAAACAGTGTTCGTTCTTTCAATTTGTATTTTTTTTATTTGAGTTTAATGATCATACTATCATACACCGAAAATGTAAAATATTTTATACCATCAACAAATCTATTTTTACCATTGAAATTAATTTTATTTTTTTTATTTATCAATTTATCATAAAAGTTAATAATTTATCACAAATGACCTAAGATTGGATAGTGTAAAATTATTTTACACAATCGGTACATAAATTATTTTATCTTTTTTATTTTTATTTGCTAATAGTAGTTAAATCAAATTCAATACCGTAAAGAATTAGTCCTTTTAACAAATAGATACATTGATTTACAAAAAAAAAAATACTAAATTGTATTTTTGTTGATTCTTTATTTATTAAAATATTTTTTTCGGTGTCTTATTTTTTAATATTTTAATTGATTTGATCTTTTTAAACAATAATCAATTTTTATTGTTTTTTTAAGACGTAAAACTTGTGAAACTAAATTCGTCCATATAAAAATTATAAATTTAATTAATATTTGAATTTAAAAAGATTATAAATATAGTGAAACATGTATGAAATATATCCCTATGAACAATTAGAAAATAACAACAAATTAATTTTTTTTATAAAACTTTTTAGTTACTTTTTTTTATACTTATTTTTATGTAATTTTTATTATATTTTTTATATTTAATAATTTTCATATAAGTGAATTTAATAAAAAAAAAATTCAATTCTTGAATATGTTAAAAAAAAAGATTCACAGAATTACAATCATATTTCAAAATTGAAAACAAATATAGTTTAAAAAAAGAGGAGTACTATATCCTCCAATGTAAATTCCGAATATAGTTTTAAAAAAGAGGAGTACTATACCCTCCTATGTAAATTCCGAATGTCTCCGAATAATTAAAATATTAATATTTATAATAAATTTATTATAAAATAATTATTTAATTTAATATTTTATTATTTAAATGAATTTTTTAATCATTTAGAACAGGTTTTGGTCAGTTCATTCGAAATATCAAATCCTTCAGTCACTTCTGGCAGCCAAGCGCGGCCGCCACTCACACTGGAGCAAATCCAGTTACTCATTGGGCGGGAGGTTTTGCCGGAGGAATTAGAGGGTACCACCATCGAACAATACGGCCGGGATCTGCTCGACGGTTACCCCGACGTGGAAATCAAGATGCCCAAGGCTATCAAAATCCCGGATTACTACATGTGGGGAAACATGGGAGTGATAGGCTCAACCACTGTTGCGACGGGCTTCACCACTGTTGCAACGGGCTCAACCACCGTTAAGGCGGACTCAACCACCGTTAAGGCGGACTCCACTACCGGAGCGACGGGCTCAATCGAAGACCGTAAGCGGAAGCGGCAGGAAGAACAGCCGGAGAAACAACCGAAGCACGACGATTAGGTTTGTAATAACGTAGTCATTCGTAATATTCTTTAACAAGTTCTCGTTTAGACTTTCATTCAATACTGTTTGTTAAGAATTTGAACTACTCTTTTACAAAAATTCTCCCACACATCTCTTTTACTCTATTTTTTTTTTCTTTTCGTGTTATGGAAATAATATACTTGCACACACTTCTTTGACTTTTCTTTCTTCCTACCATCCTCAGTCATGGGTTCAATTAACACATTTTTTTTTTGTTAAGCAAATAGTAAATTTGCAAGAATAATATTTTTTTTATATATATTTCTTAGTTATGATAGTAGGCAAATTTATGAAATATTAATATATTTGTAAGTTAGAGAAAAGTTATAAATTAAAGAACTTTTTTTTGATATATAATAATAACGGAAAGGTGATTTTTTAAAGAAAAAATAACTAGACTGAATAACTTACCAAAATTGTGATAATACCTTCATTATTTGTTTTAACTTTATCTTTTAATATTTAGATTATAATTTATCAAAAATGGTCAAAAAGTTATCCGTGTATTTTAATTTTTAAAGAAAAACATTACTTACGAATTATTTACAATATTTTTTAATATAAATAATTTAATATACACAAAGGGTATGTATAATTGTTTTTAAAAGAAAAACACTACTTACGATGATTTATAAGAATTTCAGTAAAAAAAATATTTTGATATATTATTTTAAAAAATAATTGCTTAATAAAGAAGCATAATTATATGTTCAAGATGAAGATTAAACTTAATTATTGATTAAAGAATACACATGTCAAAGTACTTGAATTAATGACTTTTAATTTAGTTTAAATACTTTTATGTTACTCATTTGAAATAATAACCAATTGTAATGTTGATAGTTAGTATTTTAAGTAAATAAAATATTTAACTAAACATGTTAAATTTTGATGCAAGAAAAATGTTTCATGTCATTCTTACGAATAATTCATTTTGACGTCTTTAGACTAGGAAAATTGCAAACATACTCCATATTATTTTTGTGACACACGTCATTTTTAAGGATCATTTAGGCAATATTCAAAATGAAACATGAGTCCTAAACAACTAAATTCCCGCTCAAATTGTCTCTTCTATGTCCTTTTTTTTTTATATGCTCGTCAAATTATCTTGTATCTATGACTTAAATCTAAAAAATTATTATTATTATTATTATTATTATTGTTATTATTATCATGTATTCCGTTTATATTTTCAAACTCCCTAAATATTAGATGATAATAATTGTAGGACTACCTGTAGCTATCGATTATAAATAACGCACTCTCTTAACTTTGGAAGAAGAATGGAAATATCTCAATTTATCTTTATTTACTCTATAATTTTTTAGCTCTTTAATGGTAAAAATACAAGATTAGTAATAGAGTAGTATTTTTTTTAAAAGAAAAATAAAATAATATATATATATATAGACCTTTCAAAATTATAGAAATTAACAAAACAATTTAAATTTGAGATACCAAAAACCGAATTTAAGAGATTATTGAATGGCATATGCCAGATTCAATGAATCTGTACAACCATGAGCAGTAAATACAAGTTGCTCTGAATATTTTCTACATTAAAGCACTGCACTAAAAATTTTTTACAATACTAAACTAGCAGTGCTAATAAAATTGAATTAGATGTCACTTATTACAAAAGAATGAGACTGATATCTACATGACAAAATTTGTTGGTAAGTGAAATCAACACTCAACCAAAGGATGCACATGCAACTGCAACTGCGAAAGTTACTTCAACAGGTAAGGATATAGGATGCTATACTCTAAATATACAGTTATAAATTATTTACAGTACATTATTTTTTTACCAGCCAAAGCATATATAAAGATGCGTCAGCTATCTATCCTCTTGAGCACGTCCTGGTCCACGTGGCAATTTCTTCGAAGATGCTGCCACAAAATTCAATTCAACAACTCATTAGATCAATAGAATTGAAGTTCTAACTATAATCTAATCTGAAGTTCATGCCATAAATCAACAAAATATTCTTGTTACAACAATTAACAAATTGGAAGTTGATTAATATGCTATTTGCAGCTTCACCAAAATGTCTTCCGATAGCTCGCTTGAGATATCTTAATTGTTATTGATTATCATTAAATTTATTGTATTACGTGCTATTAGACTGTCATTGAAATGTCTGGATATATTCAGTAGTGAAAAATGGTAAAATTTAATGATATCAATTTACGTATATGAGTACACATTTAGTGGTAGTATTAATTTTTCTTTCACTTTTCTTTATATGTAATGGTCAGAGATGTTATAAAAGCCAAAAGAAACAGTATCATATGCCTTCACCTAGACTTGAACTTTAGGATAAACAGTTCATGATATCTATTTATATACATGATAGTATTAATTTTGAATTCCTTTGTGCTGGCTCACAAGGATCTGTTTAAAAAATTGTTGGAAACCTATAAGTAGTTGAAAATTAATTAAGATGGAGAGCATGGCAATCTATGTTTAAATGTTATGATGTGCAGGAAATTCGAGACAACCAAGATGACAGAGACAGTAAAGCAGAAATAGCCCAAAGCAACTCTAAGAGACGGAGCCGAATTGCTGCTATTCATAACCAGTCTGAGCGGGTTAATAACAAGTTCTTAAATTTTTTTTTATTATCATTATTTAAATTACATAATCCTAATCGGATAATCTACAGAATTAGTCAAAAACCAAAAATTAAAATTCTGTTTAATTTGTTCTAATTAATTTCTAATGTACTAACAATCTCTTTTTCTTTTGGGGTACAGAAAAGAAGAGATAGAATTAATCAGAAGATAAAAGCCTTGCAGAGGTTGGTGCCTAATGCAAATAAGGTGAGAACAATCATCACCTATATTTGGTTATTTCTTTCACATTTATCTGTAATAAGACTCTTAATCTCTTAGATTGTTTTGAAACTCCTTAAATTACATGTTATTAACTTTAGGGTATGAATCATATGTTATTATTAATTTAAGATATGGTTGAATAAACTTCTTCACAAATGTACCTGCTTAAGGATACACTCGTAGTCTTCTTGGTAACTGCACTTTTTTCCACTTATTGAGTTAAATTTGAATTTACTGATTTTACATGTTCCATAGATAACTCATGGTATAACAATAACGCTTACAAGCGGACTAATTATGAAAGGGATGTATAACAATTATTTAATTAACTATCCATTATTAAGTTACACAAGATAGGTAAGTCAAAAGAATAACAAATCCTACATCAGAGCTTCGTGCATAAGTGCAGTCAGGAGACAAGTTCATCTGGTGTTTCAAACGAAGAAAAGGCAAGGACACCAATGATGCGTGGATATCACTGGATGTCTCCATGCAAGGTGATACACTTGTCAGATACATCTACCACCTTTCATCAGAATGAAAGATGAGAACCAGACCTGGACACTCTCAGCAAGGAGTACTTCATCCATTCAGAACTTTTCAACTTAGAACTTTACAAGGATGAATGGAAGGTTGTTATAAACACTTGGTATAAAGCTCCAATCTACGACTAGTGCAAGGAAATTCCCTCATGGAAACTAGGCATGCCTATGCCTTGGGATGCTCCTTCTGGTGTTGCACAGTCTGAATCGTCTAAGCCTATCTTTATCGAGCCAATTGCAGCATTTTCTCCTCCTGCATATCTTCCTTCTGCTTCTGAACCTGCATAATAATATGTCTCTATTGAGACATTCAATAAATTTAGAGTAGACTTGGATAACAAGTTGGATAAATTGTTCAACTTGATGGCATCTTAGCTTCCTAGGGATCCACCTCCGTCTTGATGATCACTTAAGGGAAGATAGTGTAACTTGTATAGATTGGTTTACGGGTAACCAAGTTAGGGAGAGAACAATAGGATGTATTCTTTTATTATTTATTGGGTTTTTTTCACTGTATACAATTTTTATTCAATTCAATTCAATATGCAATTTTCATCCAACATTTATTGTGTCGATACATGGCATGCTCTACTTGAAGTTATGTCTTTAATATGCATAATCTCGCTATGTTATAGTACTCAATCTAGTATCTAATCTCTCTTCAAATATTTCCCTATTTGTAATAACGTAGTCATTCGTAATATTCTTTAACAAGTTCTCGTTTAGACTTTCATTCAATACTGTTTGTTAAGAATTTGAACTACTCTTTTACAAAAATTCTCCCACACATCTCTTTTACTCTATTTTTTTTTTCTTTTCGTGTTATGGAAATAATATACTTGCACACACTTCTTTGACTTTTCTTTCTTCCTACCATCCTCAGTCATGGGTTCAATTAACACATTTTTTTTTTGTTAAGCAAATAGTAAATTTGCAAGAATAATATTTTTTTTATATATATTTCTTAGTTATGATAGTAGGCAAATTTATGAAATATTAATATATTTGTAAGTTAGAGAAAAGTTATAAATTAAAGAACTTTTTTTTGATATATAATAATAACGGAAAGGTGATTTTTTAAAGAAAAAATAACTAGACTGAATAACTTACCAAAATTGTGATAATACCTTCATTATTTGTTTTAACTTTATCTTTTAATATTTAGATTATAATTTATCAAAAATGGTCAAAAAGTTATCCGTGTATTTTAATTTTTAAAGAAAAACATTACTTACGAATTATTTACAATATTTTTTAATATAAATAATTTAATATACACAAAGGGTATGTATAATTGTTTTTAAAAGAAAAACACTACTTACGATGATTTATAAGAATTTCAGTAAAAAAAATATTTTGATATATTATTTTAAAAAATAATTGCTTAATAAAGAAGCATAATTATATGTTCAAGATGAAGATTAAACTTAATTATTGATTAAAGAATACACATGTCAAAGTACTTGAATTAATGACTTTTAATTTAGTTTAAATACTTTTATGTTACTCATTTGAAATAATAACCAATTGTAATGTTGATAGTTAGTATTTTAAGTAAATAAAATATTTAACTAAACATGTTAAATTTTGATGCAAGAAAAATGTTTCATGTCATTCTTACGAATAATTCATTTTGACGTCTTTAGACTAGGAAAATTGCAAACATACTCCATATTATTTTTGTGACACACGTCATTTTTAAGGATCATTTAGGCAATATTCAAAATGAAACATGAGTCCTAAACAACTAAATTCCCGCTCAAATTGTCTCTTCTATGTCCTTTTTTTTTTATATGCTCGTCAAATTATCTTGTATCTATGACTTAAATCTAAAAAATTATTATTATTATTATTATTATTATTGTTATTATTATCATGTATTCCGTTTATATTTTCAAACTCCCTAAATATTAGATGATAATAATTGTAGGACTACCTGTAGCTATCGATTATAAATAACGCACTCTCTTAACTTTGGAAGAAGAATGGAAATATCTCAATTTATCTTTATTTACTCTATAATTTTTTAGCTCTTTAATGGTAAAAATACAAGATTAGTAATAGAGTAGTATTTTTTTTAAAAGAAAAATAAAATAATATATATATATATAGACCTTTCAAAATTATAGAAATTAACAAAACAATTTAAATTTGAGATACCAAAAACCGAATTTAAGAGATTATTGAATGGCATATGCCAGATTCAATGAATCTGTACAACCATGAGCAGTAAATACAAGTTGCTCTGAATATTTTCTACATTAAAGCACTGCACTAAAAATTTTTTACAATACTAAACTAGCAGTGCTAATAAAATTGAATTAGATGTCACTTATTACAAAAGAATGAGACTGATATCTACATGACAAAATTTGTTGGTAAGTGAAATCAACACTCAACCAAAGGATGCACATGCAACTGCAACTGCGAAAGTTACTTCAACAGGTAAGGATATAGGATGCTATACTCTAAATATACAGTTATAAATTATTTACAGTACATTATTTTTTTACCAGCCAAAGCATATATAAAGATGTGTCAGCTATCTATCCTCTTGAGCACGTCCTGGTCCACGTGGCAATTTCTTCGAAGATGCTGCCACAAAATTCAATTCAACAACTCATTAGATCAATAGAATTGAAGTTCTAACTATAATCTAATCTGAAGTTCATGCCATAAATCAACAAAATATTCTTGTTACAACAATTAACAAATTGGAAGTTGATTAATATGCTATTTGCAGCTTCACCAAAATGTCTTCCGATAGCTCGCTTGAGAAGTTCATGACAACTGCACTTTTTTCCACTTATTGAGTTAAATTTGAATTTACTGATTTTACATGTTCAATAGATAACTCATGGTATAACAATAACGCTTACAAGCGGACTAATTATGAAAGGGATGTATAACAATTATTTAATTAACTATCCATTATTAAGTTACACAAGATAGGTAAGTCAAAAGAATAACAAATCCCGAAACGGCAAATGACCGAGCCGTCTAGTCCGTATACGGCAGCCTGTATACTTCCGGTATGTTCTATGTCGAAACAGTACCTGACCGAGCCGAATCGATGAGTGATGATGGTCCATATTTGCATTAACCAGACTGATGTCGGTTCTCGGCCTCATGCCGAGCCGACGTTGATGGTGATGCTTGTACGTGGCTATGCATGGGTGTCTGACGAAATGGCACGTGTTGGCCCACGTGACCGATACGGTCTCTCCGGTACAACAAACATTTATTAAAAAAAATATTATATAGATAAAATTAACTTACCTACTTTGTTTTAAAGTCGACTATTATTTTAAAGTCTGCAATATACAAGTTATATAGAAGTTAATTTATGTTGAAGTTTTATTATAAAAATTTCTCAAAAGTATATTTTTCAACCATATGTATAAGCGAATCATAATTTATAAAAAATTAATTTAATTAATTTAATTTATTCTTTTCATGGATAAACAAACCTTAATTACTTCACCAATTTACTTTAAAAAATGTATATGTTTGATTTATAATAAGTTTTATATACTAATTCATGTTTTACATGGCAAAATTGCAGACTGATAAAGCTTCAATGTTAGATGAGGTGATAAACTACTTAAAGCAGCTTCAAGCACAGATCCAAATGATGAACATGGCAAGCATGCCCCAAATGATGGTGCCTTTGGCCATGCAACAGCAGCTTCAGATGTCAATGCTAGCCAGAATGGGTGGTGGGCTTGGCATGGGAATGGGCTTGGCAAACATAAACAACATGGTAGCCCAAACAAGTGGCCCAAGCCCAAGGTCACTCCCCCAACTCAATATTCAACAAACAACCACAGTAGGAGCTCCACCTGGCACTGCCCCACTATTTGTTGCACCTTCCTTTATGATGCCTTCCATGATTCCTCCAAAGCCCCAACATGCATCCTCACCCTCCATTCCTTTGCCTCATCCATATACTAATGGTCTCAACCAAGTATGTCATCAATCTCATTGCATTTTAAGGAATGGTCATTAATTGCTAATTAATTGGTCAAATAGTATAACCACATTTGAGAAGTTTTGAAAACACTTGTTATTTTTACTTCTTTCTAATTTGAATTTTTTACTTTATTCTCATGCATTTTTTTTTATTATGACTATTTGGCAAACTTACATTATAGATAGATACACATCCATACTTTAGTTAAACTATTAATATATTTAAAAAATATTATATTTTATACCATCTAATTTTATATATTAAATTCGTTTATGATTATTTGCAATATTTATGTATTGTTTTTTTATATATATTATATATTATTATTATTATTAGTATTATTATTATTATTATTATTATATTTTAAATAAATTTGTCTCAACTAGTCTAGAATCTTGAATTAACCACTTATGATTATGCTATCATGTTATGACAGTTGACATTTATCTAAAACAAAATTGTTATTTTATATATCATATGGATTGATTAAGGAAATAAAAAAAAAATTATGAAAATATATTATTATTTCTTTAAAAGAGAAAATGAGTGATGCATAGATACTATCATTCAATTACAAGTTAATTGTTGATATTTATAATAAATTTAATAGTGATATTTGATTGGTTGACGGTGTAAAATTATTTTATATATATAACTATTAAACTCATACTTAAAAATATAAAATAAATTTGTTTTTTCCTTTCAAATAATTGAATTTGAAGTATTTAAAAAAAGGTATATGTGATGCCTTTTAATAATGGACATGCTTCATAAGATTAAAAATAATAATAAACTAGCTAGATAAAAGAGTTAAAACCTTTGAATTTTGTGCTTCTTTATTTTGACTAACAAAGAACATTATATTGGTGCAGCCAATTAATATGGATATTCTGCACAACATGGCAGCACTTTATCAACAACAGATGAGTCAGAATAATCATCACTTGAGCAGCAGCATCTCCCAACCACACCAAGGTCGTTGAGAATATAAATCCAACAACACTTTTGTTCTCATAAAATATAGAAGCACATTATGGATATGATGAACAAAAGTTAAACTTCATTTTCTCTTCAAACCATATATTGCCTCTCTCAAGGAAAATTCAAATATATTAGCGAAGGAATTAATCAACGATGTAATGTAAATTACAGTACATTAATTTAGTTTCAACACAGCAATGCATAAATAAATTATGCATCTGATCAAATTGTGTCCATCATATTTCATTTCACTATTTATTTTATTTCTTAAACATCATCCCACGGAATAAATCAGCATTAAATCCTAAACTTCACCGGTGATGGAAGGAAAAAAAATATATTTATATTTTAAATAAAAACTTTCTTTAAATAATGTTAATAAGATAAATAAAGAAACAGATTTAAATATAATATTTTTATTATTTCTCATATGTTTTCTTAAAATATTTTATATCATAGGAATTTTAAAATATCATATTTTATTAACTTTTTTCACTCTTCTATCCATATGTAATCTTATTAAAAGTACATCATTTTGTAAACCAAACAGAAATATGTAAAATAGATGGTTAAATTACTTTTTTATTCTCTAGTTTCATTTACTTAATTTTTTAGTTTCTATAGTTTAAAATACATATTTTTAATTTTTAAATTTTTAATGACAAGTAAAAATAAGTTTTTATATTGATTTTAAACTCTTCATAAATTTTGACGAGATAAAAAGTCTTGACTTTTTATATTAATTATAAAAATAAACATAAAAAATATTAATTTCTATATTTATTATAAAAATAACTGACATAAAAAATCTTATTTTTAAGCATAATAAATATTTTTTTTCCTCTCGCTGCATCTTTTCGTATTCTACTACTATGCTCTTTTTTAATTGATGTTGCATCTCTTTTCATTTCGTTAATACACT